TCCTCCTCCTCATCCTCCCGTGGGTTCCTGAGTGCTAGTCTGCAGGACATGGCCGGACCGAAACGCTGATTTGCTGAACTTGGGTTATGTTTTTTTAAGTCGTTGTTCGAGCTGGCAGGGAGGTGCAGGAAGACAGGCAGAGCAGAACGAGGCACACAGCGTTGAGGTCCAGCCCTGCTGCAGAACGCTGTGGCTTTGCTCCTCGAGGCGGGGCCCATTCGAGAGGGAGGCGGCGGTTTCTCGAGGCCGCTCTCGGCCACACTGGCGGCCGCCCTCCTGGCAGCCGAGGAGAGGGAGGAGCAGGAGGAGGAGGGACGGTCGAGAATCGACGTTAAGATTTCGCATGTTCGTTGTCTCGACCTCAGGAGTCTCGCGGAAGTGGTCTGGGGATCGGCTTGACGAGGTGGGGGGAGGCATACAGAAACGGTTCAGGCTCGGGTTCAGTGTTCTTTGCTATTTGATAACTTACCAAGAGGACCACCTTTCGGGTGACACCACGGAGGTTTGAGGGATGGGGTACAGGTTTCGGTTTGCGATTAGCGCCAGGTCGGAAGTTCAATGTATCAGTCTAGCGATCTCGATATTTTCGCATCGATCTCCCCATTCATCTACTTACCGATCGCCCATATGTGTATGATGCGCCTGCTCATGCCCATGACACCTATTCAATTATATACACTAGTGCTTTGCCTGACAGATTTTACTAATGTACGTATACTTGTTATTGTTGATGATGTTGTGGTTGTCGTTGTCGTCGTCGTCGTTGATGATGTTGTTGCTGCTGTTGTTGTTGTTGGTGGTGGTGGTGGTGGTGGTGTTGTTGTTGTTGGTGGTGGTGGTGGTGGTGTTATTGGTGGTGGTGTTGATTGACACGTGACCTAGTCGCCCGGCCCCCCCCCAGCAACCAGCAACCAGCAACCGACGTTTCATTTCGGCGCACCCCTCTCGAGGACCGTGGCCCTGGCGCCACAGGGAGCTCCACCGAAGGTTCATTTCAGCACACCTCTCTCGAGGATTGTGGCCTTGGCCTGACAGAGGGCTCCTTCGAAGGTTCATGTCGGCACAACCCTCTCGATGATCGTGGCCCTGGTCCCACAGGGAGCTCCACCGAAGCTTCATTTAGGCTCACCTCTCTCGAGGATCGTGGCGCTGGCCCCACAAGGAGCTCCACCGAAGCTTCATGTCGGCACAACCCTCTCGAGGATCGTGGCTGTGGCCCGACAGGGAGCTCCACCGAGGGTTCATTTCGGCACACCCCTTTCGAGGATCGCAGCCCTGGCCTCACAGAGGGCTCCTCCGAAGTTTCATTTCAGCATACTCCTACCGAGGATCGTGGCCCTGGCCCTAACAGGGGGCTCCACCGAATCGTCATTTCGGCACACCCCTCTCGAGGATCGTGGCCTTGGCCCTACAGGGAGCTCCACCGAAGGTTCATTTCGGCACATCCCTCTCGAGGATCGCGGCCTTGGCCGCACAGGGAGCTCCACCGAAGGTTCATTTCGGCACACCCCTCCTGAGGATCGTGGCCCTGGCTTCACTGAGAGCTCCTCACCCCTCTCGAAGATCTTGGCCCTGGCCCCACAGGGAGCTCCACTGAAGTTTCATTTCAGCACGCTCCTATCGAGGATCATGGCCTTGGATTCACAGGTAGCTCCACCGAAGGTTCATTTCGGCTACACAAAACCTATACCATCCCCATACGATTCCCATAGGACCCTATAGGATCGCATGGGATTCCTGTACACATCGTGTAGGATTCCTACATGTTCCCATGGGATCACATGGGGTTCCTATACAATCCCTTCATGAGGTCCCGATAGAATCCCTACAGGCTTCCTGTAGGATCCTACACGGTCCCTATAGGATCCTACATGGGATTCCTATACAATCCTTATAGGCCTCCTATAGGATCCAACAGGTTCGCATGAGATTCAGAAACGATCCTTACAGGATCCCTGTATGGTCCTATATGATCGCATGGGATTCCTATACATGCCCGATGCAATCCCTATAGGATCCTATAGGGTCGCATGGGATTCCTATACAACCTCTTCGGGCTTTTATAGGATCATATAGGTTCGCATCGGATCCCTATACAATCCCTACACGACTCCTTTCTAGGATCCTATAGGATCGCATGTGATTCTTGTACAAGCCCCATACGGTTTCTATAGGATCATGCAGGGTCGCATGGGATTTCTATACAGTCCCTATACGACTGCTATAGGATCCTACAGGGTCGCAGGGGATGTCTTATGCAATCCCTATAGGTTCCTGGAGGAGCCTGCAGGATCGCAGGGGATCCCTATATAATCCCCGCGTGATCATATAGGATCCCTATTGATAGGATCGCACAGGATACCGACACGATCCCTGTAGGTCATTATAGGATCTTTTGGGATTCTTGCGCAATCCCGATCGCATGGGTTTCCTATACAATCCTTAAACGATTTCTATAGGATCCAACAGGGTCGCGTGGGATTCCTGTACGACCCCTGTAGGATTCCTACAGGATCCCACAGGATCCACAGGATTCCTATAGCATCCGATTGGATCGTATAGGATTCCTATTGGATCCCTCTGCGTTCCAAAAGCATCGCATGGGATTCCGAAGCAATGTTTTTAGGATGCCAAAAGGATCTTACAGAGTCGCATGGGATCCGTATAGAAACCCGGCAGCATCCCATAGGATCCCCGTAGGATCCTATAGGATCGCAGAGGATCCTTATACGGTCCCTATAAGATCCTATAGGATCGCACGGGATTCCTACACAATCCATGTGGGATTCGTATAGGATCCTGCAGGGTCGCATGGGATTGTCACACAATTCCTATACGATTCCTAGAGGATCCTACAGGATCGCATGGGGCCCCTATAGAGTCCCCACAGGATCCTGTAGGATCCCTATAGGACCAAATAAAGTCGCATCGGATCCCTATACGATTTCTTTTGGATCCTATAGGATCGCATGGGATTCCTACACAATCCTTGTAGGATTCCAAAAGGATCCAATAGGATCATGTGATGTCTATACAATGCCTATACGATTGCCCTAGGATCCTACAGGGTCGCCTGGGACTTCTGTAGGATCCCTATAGGATCCTACGGGTGGGATCCGTATAGAATCCCCGCAGGATCATATAGGATCCTATAGGATCGCATAGGATCCGTATAGGATCCGTTTAGGATCCCCATCAGATCCCGATGGGGTCCTTATGGGATCCCTATCGGATTCGTATAGGATTCGATCGGATCATACAGGAGCCGATCGATTCCGGAGCTTCGCTGGTGCAGACATGGAAACATTGCATGAAGGAGTGGTTCACACCCTGTAGCAAGCGAAGTTACAGCGGAGCGAGGAATGGAGCCCGATTGTGTTGGCTGCTGGTTGCCAGGGGGGGGGGGCATTTACCCCGGGGGGCAAGGTCGCCGCCTGTTGCCCTTAAGGACAAGCGTTGACCAATTCTTCCTGGTGAGCGGGCGACTGGTCACGTGTCACCCTTGTTGTTGTCGTGGTTGTTGTTGTTTTTCTTGTTATTGCTATTGTTGTTGTTGTTGTTGTTGTTGTTGTTGTTGGACTGTCATTACTGAAGAATCGGAGGATGGGGGGTGAGATCGCAGTGGCACGGAGACCCCCAATCAGGAATTCGTTTCGTTTCGTTCGTGTCGTGCGTGCGGGCGAGGCGAAGCTCCGTGGGCGCACGAAAGGACTGAACCCGCCGCTGCTAGGGCGAAGTCAAGACAAATGATTCTCCCCCCCACCCGTCCGTCCGTCCGGCGGTGGCTCGCGGTGTCCCGCGGTGTCCCGTGGTGTCCCGTGGTGTCCCGTGGTGTCTCGCGGTGTCCGCCGTTGCTAGGGCGAAGTCAAGACAAATGATTCTCCCCCGCCCGCCCATCCGTCCGTCCGGCGGTGGCTCGCGGTGTCCCGTGGTGTCCGCCGCTGCTAGGGCGATGTCAAGACAAATGATTCTCCCCCGCCCACCCGTCCGTCCGTCCGTCCGTCCGTCGGTTGCTCGCGGTAGCCCGCGGTGTCCCGTGGTGTCCCGTGGTTTCCCGTTGTGTCCCGTGGTGTCCCGTTGAGTGAGATCGATGGTGAGATCGATAGTGAGATCGACAGTGAGATCGATAGTGAGATCGATTCTGAGCTCGATGTGGTGCCCCGTGGTATCCCGTGGTGTCCCAAAAAGTGAGATCGATAGTGAGATCGACAGGTGTCCCGTGGTGTCCCTTGGTGTCCCGTGGTGCCCCGTTGAGTGAGATCGATAGTGACATCGACAGTGAGATCGATATTGAGACCGATGTGGTGCCCCGAGGTGTCCCTTTGGTGTCCCGTGGTGTCCCAAAAAGTGAGATCGATAGTGAGATCGATAGTGAGATCGACAGGTGTCCCGTGGTGTCCTGTGGTGTCCCATGGTGTTCCGTTGAGTGAGATCGATCGTGAGATCGATAGTGAGATCGATAGTGAGATCGATGTGGTGTCCCGTGGTGTCCCTTGGTGGCCCTTGGTGTCCCGTGGTGTTCCGTTGAGTGAGATCGATGGTGAGATCGATAGTGAGATCGACAGGTGTCCCATGGTATCCCGTGGCGTCCCGCGGTGTCCCGTTGGGTGAGATCGATAGTGAGATCGATTGAGTCAGATGGTGGTTCCCTCCCCCCCTTCCCCCCCACAACCTCCTTATCACCCGAAGGGTGGTCGTATAGGTAGTTATTGTTGATCCCCCCCGTCGGTGCACATTGTATTTTTTAATTGAAGTGCCACTCCCCGCGCTCGCACCCGGTTTTTAATCAGGGAAAACCTTCGTCCTCAAACTGCGCCCTTGGCCGTCGGATTACAACAACAACGGCCAGAGGTCTGGTGGGATCCCCTCCTCGACGACGTCTCCCTTGTTTCTTTCTACCCCGAGCCCGTAGCCGTTTGGGCTCAGCCATTCGCTGCTCGATCTCCAGGCGCCTATCTGCAAGGCGAGCAATGACAGCAGGGCCCCCTCCCTGCTAACTAATGCAGGGAGGGGCACTGCTGAAAGAGCTCAAACATGGTTGCAAGATGCCGTCCTTGAACACCCTCAAGATGAAGCTGGACGAGGACCACCACAGGCACCTGGAGCACACAGCCTCGGTGGAAGAAGGGCTGACGAAAGTCCGCCGCTCGGCGCAGCAGAACAGTGAACTAGCTGACTTGCCGCCGCCAGCAGCAACCGCGGAGGCTCCGAAGAGGACACCGTACCCGCAGGCCGTGAGGGCGGAGGTGGAGGCCGCCAGAGCAGGTGCTTACCCGCCCGGCAGGGCCGAGGCGGACGCCCCGAACGGTCAGGCGGGCGGGCGGAAGTCCGTCCCCCCCGTGGCCGTGGCAGGCGCAGGGGGACGAAGAATGACATGAGCAGAAAGACTCGGAGGTCCGCGCGGGTTTCTCGGATCCGCGCTGGAACCCCCTGGCGGCGCCTCTGGTGCCGCCCCTGGCGCGCTCCGCGCGCCAGGGAGGGGGGTCCAACGCCGATCCGAGAGATCTGCGCGGACCTCCGATCGGAAATAAGAACGCATGCAGTACCAGTGGCGGCCTGTTTTTCAATCCCAAGATTTTTGTTTGAGGATCGAGGACGACGTCGGGGTGGTGTGGTGTATACGTTTTGCCCGTCTTCCCGGGGAAGCGACGACAAATGTGTACACCAGGATCCCGTATACACCAGGATCAGCTTTCTTGTGCGAATTTCAGCGCGGGGCCAGAAAAAGGCGTCGGTGCGTAGAGTGCGGCTCCGTACTCCGAGCTTTTTCGTTTCTGCCCTTCTGCGTTTTCCGAAGGCGAGGTCTGGAGCGAGCCGCTCGCCGACGGCCCCCATAGAGCTCGCTCGGGGTCGCCCCTGCCCCGGCCTGCGCCGGCGGCATGCGACAGGGCGCCCCCGGGCGCGTCGGCCTTCGAGGTGAAGATCAAGAAGCCCGTGGCCAAGCAGCTAGCAGTGCGCGGCTCCCAGCTGTCGCGGCGCTCTGCGGATCACGGGAGAGGCACGGCGGCGCACGGCATGATGGGATCGAAGAATGACATAAGCACAAACATTCGGAGGTTCGCGCGGATTTCTCGGATCCGCGCTGGACCCCCTTGGCGGCGCCTGCGGTGCCGCCCCTGGCGCGCTCCGCGCGCCAGGGAGTGGGGTCCAACGCCGATCCGAGAAATCCGCGTGGACCTCTGAGTTTTTAAGTTTATGTCATTCTTCGTTCCCCTAATCATGGGGCTGGCAGGGGCACGGCTGTACATTCGAAGGGACGCCGTCAGAGATCAGGTAGATCTGCAGCACGAGGACGAGGTCATGGGTCTAGCACTTAGCCCAACAGGGGACAAGCTAGTGGCAGGAGGCGAGGATTGCTCCGTGGTGCTCTGGGACTTGTCGGCCAGAGCCAAGCTCTTCGAGGCGAAGGCCGATGCTCCGATCAAAGCTGTGGCCTACTCGCCCAGTGGTTTGTACGTCGCCGCCGTCGACGCCGATTCGGCCGTCACTGTTTGGATGGCGAGCGACGGCGAGGAGATGGGGGGCGTGGACGTGAAGGGCGACGTGTTGTCGCTGGCCATGTCTGCTGGCCGCAGGGAATTGGTGGCAGTCGGGACCACCAATAAGACCGTGACGTTGTTTTCGGCCCCCGACCTGGAGACCATCACCACGCTGATGCACGACGGCCAGGCAAGAAGCCTCGCATTCTCGCCCGACGGCACCATGCTTGCTGGTGGGGGCGGAACCGACGATATGCACGGCCTGATGACGAACAAGGGCAGGGACCACAAGATGAAGACAGTGATATGGCAGATCGCCGCTGACGGCGCCGCGGACAGCAGCAGCGCCAAGCACTTGGCCGACGTGGAGTTCGACAACGTCCTCCACGCGACAGCCTTTGCCCCGAGCGGTAAGCTGCTGGCCGTCGGAGGCGAGAGCTGCGAGGTCGCCGTGCTGCTCGTGGACCGCGGCTTCGAGCGCGCCACGACTCTGCAGTGCGCCGCCGGCGTGAGGTGCCTGGCGTGGTCGCCCGACGTACGCTTTCTGGCCGTGGGCGGCGAGGACATGCAGATATCGATCTGGGACATCGCCGAAGAAGAAACAACCGCATAACCATGGAGCTTCCGGGGCTCCGCGCGGGTTTCTTCGATCGGTGTTTGGCCTCCCTGGGTGTCCAGTGCCGATCCAAAGAGTACGCGCGGAGCTCCGAAAGTTCCTGTTCAAGCGGCTATTTTTTCTTCTGACATCTTCGAAGACGTTCTGGCGTTGCAGCTGCCCAAAGCAAAGGACTGGTACTGCAGTCTCGCCTTCTCCGCCGACGGGCTCTGGCTGGCGAGCTGCGGCTTCGGCACCCGCGAAGTGACACTGCACCCAGTGGCTACGGGCGAGGAGCGCCCTGGCTCGCGGCCCCCCTCGAGGGCGCCGTCGGAGGTGGACGGCTCCGACGTCTCCAGCCTGGGGGACGTCGAGGACGTGCCCGAGGTGGGCAGGCTCAGCACGAGGAGGCTCAGCGCGAGGGCATCGTGCGCTGAGGCCACCACCGCCGTCACCATGTCGGTGCCGACCGTCGAGATGGGCGGCCAGAGCCAGGGCTTCCTGCTGAGGGTGGAGCGGGTCGAGCGCGTCGACGAGCGGCGGCTCACGGGGCGCGCGAAGCGGGCAGAGCGGGCGCAGCTGCTCGGGGTGTCGCCGGAGGAGGCGGCGCTGGCCCCCTCCAGGGCGAGGCAGCCCGCGGAGCTGCGCCACACGGACGAGGTCATGGGGCTCTCGTTCAGCCCGGACGGCCGCTTCGTGGCCACGGGGGGCGAGGACTCCACGAGCGGCGAATCTGTCCGCATCCCACTATCGGGTCGGGCGAAAGGGGGGGGATTGGGAAAGGGGGGGTTACGAAATTTGCTGCACGCAGCTGGTTTCGGCCTCACCGAGGGGCCAATTCCTCGATACATGGCCGCTCCCGGCGCCGGGAGGCGCCGGGAAAATCAGCTACGTGAGCTGATTCTCAAACCCCCCCTTTGCTATCCCCCCCTTTCGCCCGACCCGACACTACCCGCCAAACCACCCCGACCCAACCCGAAGGCTTCAGCTTGCCCTCCGTTTCCAGTGGGGGGGGGTCGGGGAACACTGGCAAAAACACGCCTGGACCTCGTACCCCCCCCCCGAACAAAAAAACGAAATTCGGGTCAGACTCGGGTCTTCGGGCTGGGCTGGGGTGGTCTGGTATCGCAGGCCTAGAGATTGTCACCAACACCAACATCGGCGGTGTGCATCCACCGAGGGAAGAAGATCCCGATCTCGGTAATGGTGGTAATATCCTGGCTTCCAAGGTGACCGAAATGTTGCCACCAAAACCGACGTCTAGGATCATCTTCCCCCTGTGGAGGCAACCCCCTGTGTTGGTGTTGGTGCCCATTTCCAGGCCTCCAATGGTAGGTAGTCCGTGTCCGTGCCCTCGCGGTCCGGATGCCCGAGGGGCGCGATACCGCGGAGGCGCGGTCGGGCGGAGGCGCGCCGCGCGGGGCGCTGCCGGGGGAGAGCAGGCCCCGTGCCCGCGGGGTCGCGGCCCAGGGGCCCGGCCCGCGAGGCCGCGGGCACGGCTAGCCCTAAGTCGTGCCAGTCCCTCTACAGGAGGAATATTCAAAAATAGTCAAGAGATAATCATGGGATTATTTTTTGACTATTTTTGAGCATGTTTTGAATATTCTTCGGGGTATTTTCAATTTTCGTCCAAAATCGGCCTGTAGGGGGGCAGGCCCGACCTAAGGCCGAATCCCCTGGGGATGATGAAGTTCGGGTTCCAGGGCGACAGTGAGCGTTTTCCCCGAGATCGCAGCATAGTGATGAGGATGCTGACGATGATGGTGATGAAGTTGATCCAGGGCGCTCCATAGAGATCCTTACGACATCCTTTGGATTCCTTAGGAAATATTCCTTTGGATTCCTTCAACAATCCTATGGATTCCTGAGGAAATCCATAGGATTCCTTTGCACATCTTTAGGCTTCATATGTTTTTCGCCAACGAAGGACGCCAGTCTGGTCATCTGGGACGCCGCAGGTGGCTCGAAGGCTGCTGGGAAGATTCTCGCCGACCCCATCGTCGCGCTGGCATATTCTCCGAGCGGGCTCTACGTGGCGGCAGCGACCACAGGGTCGAGCGTGGTCCTGTGGGGCACGGCTGAGGAACGCGAGGTTGGCCAGAGTGACTTCGGCTGCCCCGTGCTGTCCGTCGCGATCGGGAAGGGCGATCTCCTGGCTGTCGGCACCGTCGAGAATGGGGTCTCGCTTTTGTCCCTGCCGGGCATGCAGGAGGTCGCGCGGCTCGAGCACGAGGGCCACGTGCGTTGCCTGTCCTTCTCGCCCGACGGCGGCATGCTGTCTGGTGGGGGGGGCATTGACGACATGCACGGCCTCATGACGAACAAGACCCAGGATCACGAGATGAAGACGGTGGTTTGGCGTGTGGCCAACGTCGGGAAGGACTGCAAGTACATGGGCTCGATCTCGTTCCACGACATCGTGCACGCGGTGGCCTTCTCTCCCGCGGGGGCCGTGCTTGCCGTAGGCGGCGAGAACAGGATGATAAGCCTGCTCTTGGTTGACCGGGACTTTGACCACGAGTCCCAGCTCGCGTGCACCGCCGGTGTTCGCTGCTTGGCCTGGTCTCCAGACTCGCGCTTCCTGGCGAGCGGCGGCGAGGACAACCAGGTCACGCTCTGGGACGTGCTCGGCGAGCAGATTGTGTTTCAGACGCCAAAGGCGTCGGACTGGGTGTGCTGTGTGGGCTTCAGCCCAGATGGTCGCTGGCTGGCCTCCTGCGGCTTCGGGCACCACGAGGCGACGCTGCACCCGGTCGGTCCTGTCGAGGCCCTCGAGGCCGAGACATGA